CCCGCGCCCCCCCACGCGCTGGGTCCTGGGCCCACGCCCCCCCCACACCCCGCGTCCTGGGCTCAGGATCCTCCATGCCCTGGGTGCTGCACGTCGAGTGCGGGCAGCCTCATGGCAGCGTGGGTTTTGCGTTCTTTTCTGCAGGAAAAGGAGGCACCAAGCCAGCGCTCATCTCCTGGGTAGAGGAAGAGGCTGAACTGTGGGGTTTGGATGCCCAGGATCCGGAGGTGGCCAGGTGTCAGGCGGGCACAGCCCCAGGTGAAGTATGGTTTCCTCGTGGGGGCTTGTCTGCCTCCTCTCTGAATTGCTTTCTCAACGAAGGCCACTTGTGCCCGGCCGCTGCCCAGCTCCCGTAGTTCCGTAGTTCAGTCCAGAAGGGGGCTGTGATTTCAGGAGCTGCTGCCGTGCGAGAACTTCTAGGTCTCTGCTGTGAGCACTTCAGTGTGTCACTCTGATTCCATTGGTTTCTTTAGTTTTTCCTGTCAACCTTTGCAGTGTCCAGGTCCCAGTGGATCAGGCAGTGGTAGCCACAGCCATGCCGTGTGTGTGTGTGTGTGTGTGTGTGTGCTGGTCCTTGGCCTTGAACACAGGACCTGACTGCTGTCTCTGAGCTTTTGTGCTCAAGGTGAGTGTTCTACCACTTGAGCTACAGCTCCACTTCTGACATTTTGGTGGTTATTGGAGACAGTATCTCAGCTGGGTACCAGTGGCTCTCACCTATAATCCTAGCTACTCAGGAGGCTGAGATCTGAGGATTGCTGTTCAAAGCCAGCCCAGGCAGAAACATCCATGAGACTCTTATCTCCAGTTAACCTTCAGAAAACCAGAAGTGGCACTGTGGCTCAAGTGGTAGAGTTCTGGCTTTGAGCTGAAGAGCTCAAGGACAGCACCCAGGCCCAGAGTTTAAGCCTAATGTCTGGTGTGTGTGTGTGTGTGGTGAAAGAGTCTCACAGACTTATGTCTGGAGTGTGTGTGTGTGTGTGTGTGTGTGTGTGTGTGGTGAAAGAGTCTCACAGACTTTCCTGCTCAGGCTGGTTTTGATCCACAGTCCTCAGATTTCAGCTTTGTGAATAAGGATTACAGGCACGAACCACTGGTGGCTCAGGCATGCCTTTTATTATGCCATTCTTGCTTTCTGCAACATTGATTCACCCTGAATGATCTGGCTTAGACGCTGTCACACACTGCCTCCTGTCCACTCATTGCGTGATCCAGCACAGCTTCACCCCCCCCTCCCCAAGGAGCAGCCTTGGGGCCCAGAGGTGGTTATGTCTGGGAGGCCTGTCATTGATAAGGGGTGTGGAGTTCGTGGACCAGGCTACACCAGAGTCTGAGTGTACCTCCTATTGCTTAGCAGATTCCAGAAACAAGGAAGAGAAGCGAGGAAGGGAACCAGTGGAAGCACTGCAGGAGACACTTTCTCCTGACCCTGGCCCACCTGGGATGCAGGGTCTGGGACTCCCTTCTGCTGGACTCCCTCAGGGCTTGGAGGCAGCAGCCAAAGCACCTCACCGCGGTCGTCCCCCACTCCGAGCCCACCCCTCTGTCCCCCGAGCAGACCAGCGTCATGGCTGCTATGTGTGTGGCAAGAGTTTCGCCTGGCGCTCCACACTAGTGGAGCACCTCTATACCCACACCGGAGAGAAGCCCTTCCACTGTCCTGACTGCAACAAGGGCTTTGGCCGGGCCTCCTCCCTGAGCAAGCACCGGGCCATCCACCGAGGCGACCGGCCCCACCGCTGCCCTGACTGTGGCCGGGCCTTCACGCAGCGCTCTGCCCTCAACACGCACCTGCGGGTCCACACTGGCGAGAAGCCCTACTGCTGCGCTGACTGTGGCCGCTGCTTCAGCCAGAGCTCCGCCCTCCACCAGCACCAGCGGGTGCACAGCGGCTTGACCCCCTTCCCTTGTGCTGACTGCGGCCGAGCCTTTGCCCATGCGTCGGACCTCAGGCGGCACATGCGCACTCACACGGGCGAAAAGCCCTACCCCTGCCCAGACTGTGGACGCTGCTTCCGCCAGAGTTCAGAAATGGCAGCCCACAGGCGGACCCACAGTGGCGAGCGCCCTTATCCCTGTCCTCAGTGTGGTAGATGCTTTGGCCAGAAGTCAGCCATGGCCAAGCATCAGTGGGTCCATCGCCCTGGAGCTGGGACCCGCGGGAGCCGAGGAGCTAGCGGGTTCCCTGGGTCACTGGCCCCTGACCCGGGAGACCTGGACCCACCTGTGGGTTTCCAGCACTATCCAGAGATATTCCAGGAATGTAGGGCATGGCCTTAAAAGGAGGGGGGAGGGGGTAGAGATCTAGACATTGCCTGAAGTCCTACATGGGCACAGAGTCATGAACCTGTATGGCTGACCTCCAGGGAGATTACAGAATTTCTATCAAGAGCTGGTGGTGGGGACTGTGGCCCAAGCTCTAGGAGCTGTCACTGCAACACAGAGGTGACCCGAGAAACCCTGCTAGAACTTCACTTGGGAGGCAGCACAGTTTCTCCATTCAGAGGTAGGACAGCAAATTGAGGCAAATTGTTTGACCAGTTACCCTGTTGGGAAGTTCAAACGAATGGCTCTATCAGAACTGGGCCTTTGGCTGCCAATACTTAGATCCTTCCAGGCAACATTGTCAAAATTTAAAAATTGGAGTATTTCACACAAAAATCCCAAGTTTCTGCTGTCTCCTGAAAACAGATTGGGAGGCAGATGCCAGTGGCTAACACCTGTAATCCTAGCTACTCAGGAGGCTGAAATCTGAGGATTGAGGCAGATATAGCTAAAAGATTCCCATCTCCAATTAAGCAGTAAAAAGAAGTGGAGGTATGGCTCAAGTGGCAGAGTAAAAAATTGATTAAGAGTGTGAGACCCAGCCGGGCGCTGGTGGCTCACACCTGTAATCCTAGCTACTCAGGAGGCTGAGATCTGAGGATCACGGTTCAAAGCCAGCCCGGGCAGGAGAGACCGTGAGACTCCTATCTCCAATAAACCACTAGAAAACCGGAAGTGGCGCTGTAGCTCAAGTGGTAGAGCGCTCGCCTTGAGCTGAAGAGCTGAGGGACAGCACCCAGGCCCAGAGTTCAAGCCCCACGACCGACAAAAAAAAAAAAAAGAGTGTGAGACCTGGGGCTAGAAGGTGGCTCAGGGGTAAAGCACTTGCCTTGCATGCTTGAGGCCCTGGGTTCGATTCTTCAGCACCCAAAAAAAAAAAAAAAAAAAAAAAAGCCAGAAGTGGTGCTGTGGCTCAAGTGGTAGAGCGCTAGCCTTGAGCTAAACAGCTGAGGGGTAGCGTCCAGGCTCAGAGTTCAGGCCCACGACTGGACCCAAAATAAAACAAAAAGAGTGTGAGTTCAAGTCCCAGTACTGGTACAAGAAAAAAAAAAAGGCAGTTTGAGTTTTTATAAAATTACAGCAGATGGCTGAAGCCAAATGAGCTTGCTTTCACCTCGGCCCCACCCAGGACTGTCCAGCAGCCCCTGACCAAGTTTCAGTTGCATTTTAAAGAACAAAGAAGTGAGCAACATTTTATTTTCCCTTCATGAGTCATGGTGTCATTATAGTCTTCAACGGGCTAGCCTCTTAATCTCTCAAGTGCTGGGATTACAGGTGTACACCATTACTCTCTTTTTTTTTTAAGTTCTTTTTGTTTTGTTTTGGTCAGTCATGGGGCCTGAACTCTGGGCCTGAGCATTGTCCCTCACCTCTTCAGCTCAAGGTTAGTGCTCTACCACTCGAGCCATAACGCCACTTCTGGCTTTTTCTGCTTATGTGGTGCTGAGGAATCGAACCCAGGGCCTCATGCATGCAAGGCAAGCACTCTACCACTGAGCCACCTTCCCAGCCCTTTATTTTATTTTTTTGGTCGGTCATGGGGCTTGAACTCTGGGCTTGGGCGCTGTCCCTGTGCTCTTCAGCTCAAGGCGAGCACTCTACCGCCTGAGCCACAGCCCCACTTCCAGTTTTCTAGTGGTTTATTGGAAATAAGAGTCTCTTGGACTTTCCTTCCCGGGCTGGCTTTGAACTGAGATCCTCAGATCTCAGCCTCCTGAGTAGCTAGGATTACAGGCATGAGCCACCAGCGCCTGGCTTTTTTTTTTTTTTTAATTTCCGTTGTGGGGCTTGAACTCTGGGCCTGGATGGTGTCCCTCAGCTCTTCAGCTCAAGGCTAGCTCTCTACCGCTTGAGCCACAGCACCACTTCCGGTTTTCTAGTGGTTTATTGGAGATAAGAGTCTTACAGACTTTCCTGCCTAAGCTGGTTTTGAACGGGGATCCTCAGATTTCAGCCTCCTGAGTAGCTAGGATTACAGGTGTGAGCCACCGGCACCCAGCCAGTGGATTTCTTAAGCCCATGTTTCTGATAGAACAGAACAGGCCTTCTTCAATGTGTTTTCCTCCCGACCCCCACATCTGTCTGCAGGGCTCCTGGTGTGAGGAGAGCTTCTAGGTGATGGGATGCAGGAGGGAAGTAAAAGCCAGCTTTGTTTCAGCTTTGTATCTCGGAGCTTTTGTAGCACTGTCTTGTTTATCAGCTCATCTCACCCTCATAACTGCCTGGGGAAAGCAGCAGTTTGCTAGCAGAAGACAGTCCAGAGGAGGCAGGCAGGGTGGAATCATCCAAACCAATCCAAGCGACACACCTGCTGCGAGTCAGCGTCATGCTCAGCTGGCAGTAGCTCTTGCTTTTGGAGGGAAGGCTCTGAAAATGTCCTCTAGTCTTCTGGGGGCCTTCTCTGGAGAGTGCTAGGGTCCAGGCCTGCTTAGTCACTTCAGAGACCCAGCCTGGGGAGTTGCCTGTGGGATTTGAACCAGAAAAGATCCTAGATTTCCCATCCTTTTGTAATTAGGGGCATAGACCAGGGGAGGCTATACAATCTTCCCAAGATCATGTACACTTAAATTCTAGGGTTTAGGAAGTGGCCCTTTGGCTCAAGTGGTAGAGCGCTAGCCTTGAGCTGAAGAGCTCTGCCCAGGCCCAGAGTTCAAGCCCCATGACTGACCCTCCCCCCCCCAAAAAAAATCTAGGATTTGGCCAATTGCTGGTGGCTCATGGCTATAATCCTAGCTACTGAGGAGGCTGAGATACGAGGAACATAGTTCAAAGCCAGCCAGGGCAAGAGAGTCCATGAGACATCTCCAATTAACCACCAGAAATTTGGAAGTGGTGTTGTGGCTCAAAGTGGGAGAGACTAGCCTTGAGCAAAAAAGCTCAGGGACAGCACCCAGTCCCTGAGTTCAAGCCCGACCACTGACCCTCCCCCCCCAAAAAAAATTCTAGGGTTTAAACACAGGTTTTCAGTGTTGCTTAAGCTGGCGCTAAGTTCTTGGGTTCAAGGGGTCCTTCTGCTTCAGCCTCCCAAGTGGCTGGATCTGCAGGTATGTGGCAGGGTATTGTTTTCACATCACTTGTGAGTTCCAGCCTCGGAGCCGGGGTTCTGGAGGTGTCTGCCGTCTCTCTGTGAATACACAAGATACCGACCCTGGACTGGGACAGTGCCCACCCAAGGGAAAAGCCAGCCTGAGAACTGCAGACCAAACAGAAAGAAATCTTGCACCAGTTGTGTGGTTCAAGTAGAGTACTTGCCCAGTGAGTGTGAAGCCAACTTTAACTCCCAATATATATTAAAAAAAAAGACAAATGAAATACACATCTTCACTCTAGGTATCCACCATCATGAACACGGACCATTCTTTTTCCAAGTTTGGTCAGACTTCCTCTCCATCACCTTACACCTCCATTCACCCTTGACCATGAATTCCTTTGTGGTCAGAGTTCCACTTCGAGGAGGTGATGGAGCAGCCATCCAGAGCAGTCTGTCTTGCCCTGATCAGAGGAGATGGCACCTTGGAAGCATGGTGGTCTTTATCCTCTGCTGACTTGTGTATGCTTGGCTATTCACCCAACTTTCACCCTGTGTGTCTGGCCTTCCTTTGGGAGGAAGAAGTCCTATTTGCCAACCTGAAAAACCTTTTGTAGTTTGTTGGCCATGCTTATGTGTGTGTGTGTGGAACCCAGAGCCTTTCACATGCTAGGCAAGCACTCCCCAGCTACACCCCCAGCTCCTGGACAACTTCTTAAGAGGCAGGAAATGAAATGATGCTCTGGAGAAGCAATGAAGAGATTTCCATCGAACCCTCCACGTTCACCCTCAGTTTTTCTCTGGAAGACTGACTTACGTGCCACCTGTCACGCGAAGGCACATGGAGGAGAGGAGGTGCCGTGGCAGTCGGTGCTGCCTTTACACTAATTTACAGCAGACACCTGAGCAACTACCCAGGGATCAAGGGCTGCCTGGGGGAAGCCCAGCTTGAAACACAGGTTTTCAGCTCAGGCTCCAGCCAGATGTGGCCTCTGCCCCTCAGCTTGCCAATTAAAGGTGCCAAAATTACTGTTTAAAATTGAAATGCTTTGAAGTTTGCAAGGCTTGCCCAGGGCCCAGAAACCAGACCTAACTCCTCTGTTTCTGGCTCTTACTCAAATCTCCATGATTCAATCGGTCTTTAAGCTTCAGCCCCACTCCATTCTTAGCTGTTCACTTCTTGACATGAGTACTTCTGCCAAAGGCAAGGCTCTCTTTTCTGTCTGCTGTAACAGGTCTTTGAGACTCAGCCACAGATGCAATATCCAAATGGACATCCACAATGAAAAGGCCATCACCACATTGCTCATTCCTAGTTTTACTAGGCCACTTAAAGGGAAGGTAAAAATTTAATTGAAATAAAAGGTATCAACTTTCACTCTAAAACCCTCTAAAATTATTTGATAGCTTTGTATGTCTTTCTAGGAATAGGATACACATAACACATATAAGCTAAACTGAAGACTCTAGGCCAGTACAACTCCCTGTATTTGTGGAAGACTGTGGATATCCTGTGGATATTAAAAATCCTCTGAAGTACTGGGCACCAGTGGCTTGTACCTCTAATACTAGCTACTCAGGAAGCTGAGATCTGGACAAAGTTTTAGGATAAACACAGACATTGTGCATTTTTCTTTATGACATTTAAAGCAACGTCTTAATATGTAGCCTAGGCTAATTTTGAACTCAGCTTCCCAAGTGCTGGGATTACCGGTATTGTGCTTGGCAGGTAAACTCTACTGAGATAATGTCTCTCCATTCTTTTACCACTTGGCATACTCCAAATTATTTTTCTCATTTCAGTAGAATGAAGATACCATCTTTTCTCCCAGCCAGCTTCTCTTCATTTGTTTGGTTAGGCAACAAGAAAACACACAATTCAAGGCTGCTACATCACACACACAGAAGTTGGCTCATTAATGGTCAGGAATGCTACCAAACTTGTTTTGGAATGAAGGATAGGAAAAGAACAAGATTGGATGATTAAGTTGTCTTTCGAGGGTCACTTTCTCTGTCATTCAAGACTGCACCTGGGGCAGTGTTCTCGGGTTCCCTTCCTCTACAAGCCTTCATTCAAGCTAGAGAAGAGTTCCTGGATACCTTTAGGTGCAGATGCTTCTCTCTGTTCTGCTCTCCTCTTCTTTTACCTTCCCCGGCAAGTGAATTCTGTTTCACAGCGAGGAAATCCAGGAGCCAGAGATGGAGTTAAACTCAGGCTTTCGGGAAGATTGGGGGGGGGTGGCGCGGAGGAGAGAGAAGCGAGCTAATAGAGAACGAAAGGGCTTCCTGTGTGGAAGGATCACTGGAAGGAGGAGGTGCGGGGAGGAAGCGGGGGAAGAAGGGTCACTCGGATCCCTTGGCTTTTATTCTTCAGAGATACATAATGCAGGGCAAGCGGGCGCGGGAAAAGTTTTGAGAGCACCGGCCGAGCTCGCAGAGAGACGCCTGTCACTTCCGTCCCCCTCCCCTCCACAGACCCTTCAGGCGCGGAGAGGTGGAACCAGCCTGAGCGCCCTCAGCCAATCAGAAAGGCGCCTCGCGTTCCCTGGCGACCGTTAACGCCAGGCCGTCCGTGGAGGAGAGGCCTGTAGTCCCATTGGCCAATCGCTGATCTCACTGGCAAGTAGGGGCGGGGCCTCTGGAAAGGAGGCGGGACTGTCTCCTTGGCAACGGTCCCAGCCCTCCAGGGGTGGGGGGGAGTCTGGGAGGTGCTGGGAGGGGAGGTGCGGGAGTGGGGGTTCTCAGGTGTTAGGGAGTTCAGCCTCGGGGTTCCGGACCCTAAAGCCGCCATTGGGCCAAAGGGGGTCCGCCAAGGTTCCCGAGGAGCGTCCGGAGCTGACCTGCAGGCTCGGGAGGGGAGGGCGGGAGGGGAGGGAGACGCCGCCCCCACTGGCGCCGGGAAGCGTCGCTCGTGCCCGCTGACCTTGGTCTCGCTTGTCGCCTCGCCCTTGGCCTCACGCATAGACGGACATTGGGTCCGAGAAGTCAGCAGACGCGCCCTTGCATAGAAGGAGACCCGGGACACAGGCACGCAGACTGGTCCAGGCCCCTTCCCCCCACGTCTGCTCTGGGGCGCCGGGTCCCCCCCCCCCCAGCGCCGGGGCCATCCAGTCCAGGGTTAATGCCAACGAGTTTCCACCTCCAGCCGCTCCTAGAGAGGCCGCGGCGCGAGCCAGCGGGGGGACCTGGCCTCGGACGGACACTTCCTGTGAAGGGGGAGGGGGTCGGAGCGCCGCGGCCCAGCCCGAGGTTGGGGGGCGAGACGGCGGGGTCTCGGGCTGGGAGCGGTGGCCGAGGGCGCCAGGGCGAGTGGTGAGGCCCCTCATCTCCGAGCCCACGACGCGTGGGGACCCGTGCGGGCCGCAGGGCGAGCCGAGACCTTGGGAGGGGGGC